GTCCCTTTCGATTGTCCACGGGGATATCCATTTTTTTGAAGCCTGCGTCGACGGAGGGTGTCACATCGCACTCCCACTCCCCATCGACGGTTTGCTCCAGGCCATCGTCGTTCGGCAAGATAACTCGTCGCACTTTCATGGAAAGGTCGCCGTCGCATCACTCCCAGCCACCGTCCACCACGCTCAATAAATCACGAGCACGGGCCACTCATCCCCAAACGCATTTCGAGCGCGCGCATGGATTGCGAGCACTGTAGTGGACTGCTTTCTCGCCGCGCTCTTGTCTGCCTTTCGCGCGCTGCTGTGCCGTTGCCTGCTCCCGCCGTGCAACTTCGTTAACGGCCACTGTCGTCGTCGACCACGTCACCATCTGCGACGCGCGCCGTCTACCATCTTTGTCGTCCGCCAATCGTCTTGGCGCCATTCGTCGTCGTCGCCCCGTCATCACCTGCCGTCGTTCGTCGTCGCCGCCCTTGCCGCCGTCAACGTCCATCCGCCATTCGTCGTCGTCGACCTTTCAGTCATTCGTCGTCGCCCTGACCGTCATTCGCCACCCTGTAATCCATCCGTGTACTCATAGCTGTCCGTTCCATTCTGTCTTCCATTCTCGCCGCCCTGCGATCATCCAACCGCCGCGCGGTGTACTCGTCCGCAAGTTCTGCGAACCACCGACCGCGATCGAAGGTGCTTTTGTCGGATCCGCCATGTCTTCCCGCCGAGGTGGACGGGCGAAGGCTGCCTTGAAGCAGATCGTGGAAGGCGCGACCCCCGCGAAGAAGGGACGTCATCAAGCGAAGAGGCAGAGGAAGGGCGTCCAAGCCGTGGTTGCTGGCAGTGCGCGGGATGTTGTGGAGGAGGTTGTGGTGGAGGAAGAGATGACGAACGACGACGACGACTTTGAAGATGACGACGATGAACTACTGCCGAGGAAGGCGAGGGTCGGTTCCAGGGGGGGGATTAGAATAAACGAGGGGAGGGAAGGGAGACCGACCGCACGGCGCGGCGGTGGCGTTGCCGCGGCCAACCAACCAGTCTTCGTCGACGTGGCACGCGACGTGGCGCGCGACGTCGCAAGGAGGGACGTCGTTGGCCGTGCGAAGGAAGGGGCCGCATCGCATGAGGCTGCGCAACGCGTGCTTGAGCCGGTGAATCACCCCCGAACCCCGGCTGCAGACGTGGCGGGGGGTTCCCAAGCAGCGGTTGAAGGTGGGACGTCGCGATCTCCCGCGGTGGCGGCGCGCGGCGGCGCTGTGGCGGTCCCGGGAGAGGCGGTTGAAGTCCCGAAGGGAGGAGATGGCGCGGCGGGCGGAGAAGACGACGAGGCTCTGGTGCACAGACTGCGCGGGCAACGAGCGGCGACACATGCGATGGATGCCGCCGTCAAACTTTGGGAGGGTGACAACAGATTCGGGAACGACACGTAGGGGAGCATCGTAATGAGGATAATCCAAGAAGCGCGCGCGTATCTCTTGGCCGTGGCGCGGGGAGTGCAGCCTCCGGCTATTCAACGGAGCATCTCCCTTCCACACAACTCCATCCCCCAACACAAAATCGAGGACGAGTCGGAGCTCAACGCGGCGAAAGAGAGGGCGTTGAAAGTGCAGACAATCTCCCTCAGGGAAATCCACGGTTGGGTCTTCAAGTCGGAGAGCAGGCAAAGGGGGTTTCACATGGCATACCAATACGCGTTGAATCACGCTGCCACGGACATCGCTAGAGCAATGTGGTCAGCAGAGGACTGGCGCAGTTTGGTGAGCCCAATGTTGTTCCGCACCACATTGAACGCAGACATGAAGTTTCCTTTGTGGTTCGTGGGCGTGAACATAGTGGACAGGCATGAGGACGATGAGTGCGCGGCTTACCAGGAAGCTTGTGTCCAGCATCTTGTGCGGGATTTCACAAGCGTTGTTGGCACGGCAGAAGCTATGGACGACGGTCGAGTGTCGTACGAGCGTATGAAGGGGATGGCAGAGGCGATGAGATATTTGCTCGCCGCCACGATGTGGATTATGCAAATGGCGGGGAACGATTCGAGATCACATTACGACGCTTGGGTTTTTGTTCAAATGACGGCAAAGACGACGCTGCTGGCGTCCATGAACCGTCAGATTGACGCCCGCGGACACATCACGCAATCCGCGCAGGTCATGACGGACAAGTTGGGAAGACCGCCTCCAACCTTCGCCCCCCCACTTGTGTACATCCCCGATTGGGCGTCTAAGTGCGGGGTCACTTTCTCGCAGGACACCACGTTGGCCTCCCCGATGGAGGCGAAACAGTTGGATTGGCTGGGGACAGGTCCCCCCGAGGACGCCGCCGACGCCGCCGAAGGCGATGACAAAGGCGAGGGGGGGTGACGCGTAGACGACGTTGATGGCGAGGGCGAGGAG